GTGACAGCCTTTGGGATTCCTTTCTTTGTTTCATGCAGAATAGGGCCAGGATAGGTGGCAGGCTATGGGGTTTCATTATTGAATGTAATATTATTGGCAGCCTTGGGGGGTTGCATCCCTTACTTAATTGAAATTTTTTGCCTTACGTTGAACATAACATTCATTCACATAATCTGTAAAATTTTCCAACCTTTGAATCAGTCATCAAACCTTCAAACATTCCAGCATTCATACCTTCATACAATCAATAAACCTAAAACATTCCAACCTTCAAACCTTAAAACAATTCTACACAATGACCTCTTCACCATAATTTGTTGTCAAAGCACATTTCAACAGTGAGACATACATGTGTCCCACAGTTGGGTTTTTGTTTAGAAACACCGACAACGTTCGATTTCTCTTAAACGGGAAAGCAAATTTCTCGTACTTTAAGAAAAGATTGGAGGCAAAACTTGAACGAGGCCCGGTATCCCAGATATTTTATCAGAGTCCAGTCTTTTTTGGAAACAACCAAGTTATTTTTTATAAGGTTTAAGTTCAAGATGACGAGGATTTCCAGAACATGATTTCCAGCCATGTCTATTCTGGAAATGACTCTATTGAGTTGTACGTTTTGCTTCAAGAGCCTCCGGTGACACAGGAGGTAGAGCCTCCGGTGACATAGGAGGTTGATCCTTTGGAGAATGAACAAGATGAGGTGGATGCAGTTGATGATGAAGAAGAAGATAACGAGTTAGAGTTTGATGAAATGGTGAACGACGATTCTGACGATGATGGCATCCCAAGTATTCCTACTGACAAAATCTACACACCACCTACGCACATGACAAACTTCAACATGGGCGGAGATGAACCTTCTACGGACTTGTTTTTCCAACCGTATATGCAGTCGGATGAAAATTTAAAAGAGAAGGACAAGTTTCGTAACAGAGAGGAATGCATAAGGGCCATCAAAAAATTTCACATGCTCAACTCAGTTGATTATAAGGTGGATCGTGTAAACCCGGAAAGGTACAAGATCAAGTGTGTCCACCCTGACTGTATGTTCAAGCTGACCACATCATACAGACTAAGGGGTGATTGTTGGGTCATAGGTTCCATGACTACCCATACTTGTGTAAGTTCCACTCAATCACAAGACCACCGAAAACTCAACCATGATCTAATCTGTCAAGAAATCCTACCCCTGGTCAGCAATGACCCTTCTTTGAAGGTGAAAACAATCATCTCCCACATCACCATGGTTTTTAACTACACTCCGTCTTACTGTAAGGCGTGGTTAGCAAAGACTAAGGCGATTGAAAGGGTGTACGGAAACTGGGAGGAGTCATACCGAGAACTTCCCCGCTACCTAAATGCACTCAAGACATATTCTCCAGGTAGTGTTTATGTTCTGGAAACATTGCCAGTGTAAGCCCAAGATGGTAGTCTACTGCATGGCAACGGAATATTCAGTCGCGTGTTTTGGGCATTTCAACCATGCATCACAGGGTTTGCATCATGCAAACCAATTCTACAAATTGACGGGACTTGGTTGTATGGGAAGTACAAAGGCACGCTTTTGATGGTAGTTGCACAAGATGGAAACAATAACATTTTCCCCGTTGCGTTTGCCCTTGTCGAGGGGGAGACCGGTGGTGCTTGGAGCTTTTTCCTGAAAAATCTTTGTACACACGTGGCTCCTCAACCAGATCTCTGTTTGATCTCGGACAGACATGCCTCCATTGAAAGTGCCTATAATAATCCAGCAAATGGTTGGCATGACCCTCCTTCTACGCATGTCTATTGCGTCAGGCATATCGTCCATAATTTCTCGAGGGAGGTCAATGACAAAACATTGAGGAAAGCGGTGATGAATGCGGGATACGCACTGACACAGCCCACATTCAAATATTACCGCAACGAGATCCGTTTGTCTAACCCAGAAGCCGGTACGTGGATCGATAATATATCGGTCGAAAAGTGGACTAGGTCATACGACAATGGCCAAAGATGGGGGCATATGACAACAAATCTTATTGAATCAATGAATGGGGTATTCAAGGGCATACAAAACGTCCCAATCACTGCCTTGGTGAAATCCACGTATTTTAGGATGGCTGCGTTATTTGCCAAAAGAGGTGAAATGTGGTATGCGGTCTTGCAATCAGGACAACTATGGAGTGAAAGCTGTATGAAATACATTAAGGCTGAAAGTGCTAAAGCCAACACTCACATGGTTACACGGTTTGACCGCCACAGCCACAACTTCATTGTGAAAGAGACAATCGACCACAATGAAGGCCTGGCAAGACAAGAATACAGGGTCATTTTACCTTCTCAATGGTGCGATTGTGGAAGGTTTCAAGCATTTCGTATGCCTTGCTCTCATGTCATTGCCTCTTGTGCTCATACCCATCAAGACGCGCTTCAACTGCTCTCAAACGTTTATAAATCTGAAAACGTTGCTCACTGTTTACAACAACAACTTTCTTTGGTGGCAAAACCGGACTATTGGCCTGAATACAACGGCGATATAGTTTGGCATAATGACCAAATGCGAAGGAACAAGAAGGGTCGTCCCAAAAGCAGGCGCATCACAATAGAAATGGACGATCTTGACAGGTTGGAAAGAAAGTGTGGTTTATGCCGTCAGGTCGGACACAATCGCAAAAACTATCCGAATCGGGCTTCTGGCTCGACCACATAAATTTTGTAATACAATAAATCTTTTCAATATTTGTGTTGTAAACATTAGGGTTTTCCGTTAATAAAACTGTTAACACAATTTAAGAAATTCAATATAGGAAATTACATTAGGGTTTTCGCGTACAACAATGATTAACGATATTCAATCTAGGAAATTACAACTGTTAACACAATTTCATCTGACCCATGCATCATCAACATTACATCACTGTCTGTTTTGACTTCCTCCAACCACACATTAGGTCTTCCTGTCGCATGCGAGGTTGTTGTTCGTTTTCGCTGGATCCTTCGAATTTTTCCCCCTCCGCGATGTCTCCATCTAGCCACCGCATCAACTCCCGCTTCAGACGCTCCATGGAGTGAATGTGCCAGAATTTCATTTTCATCGCAGGTTTCGTGGCGGAGAATATAACGTAACCATCTCTGCTAAAAATCATAGGCGACGTCATTACATAAATAACGGAGTACAAAATAAAAATACAGTGCGAGAAAGTGTGAGAAATTTCAAAGAAACGGACGAATTATTTATAAAACAACAAAAAACCCTAGTTTTGCCCTAAGCGCCAAGTGAGATGGCGCCTCCTCTCATTTTTAAGGAGCATGCGCCATGTCACTTGGCTAAAAGACAAGGGAGGCGCCAAGTGAGATGGCGCCTAGGGCAAAACCCTAGGTGCATGCGCCAATTGAGATGGCTCCTCCTTTGTGGAGCCATCTGAAACATGGTTATTTGCGTAATTTTTCCCGAAACCCGGTTATTTGCGAAATATTTTTTTAATACATGGTTATTAATAAAAAAAATTCAAATTTATACATCTCCATTTCTACTACTTCTAACATTAAAATAGGCCCACATAAATAATAATAGTATTATTCAATATTAATCCTACAACTTAATTAACTAATTAGTTAAACTAAGAAATACACAACTTAAATCAACATTTCACAACTTCGGAAATTTAATCAGAAAATATTCGAAAATATTTAATTAAATAATTAATTAAATATTGGGTGTTACAACTCTCCCCCACCTAGAATATCTTCGTCCTAGAAAATTTACCTTGTTTGAACAACTTAAGATAGGATTCCCGCATCTTGCTTTCCAACTACCATGTCATTCTTTCTCCGGAAGCTCCTAACCAGACTACTTTCACCAAAGAAATCTCCTTGCCTCTTAGAGTCTTCATTTCAAGATGTGCAATTCGTACAGGCATCGTCTCCATAGTAAGATTATCCCGTACTTGCACATCATCCTTACGAATCTCATAAGATGGATCTGAAATATACTCTCGGAGTTATGAAACATGGAACACATCGTGCAAATTTGAAAGATTAGGTGGTAAAGTCACTTTATATGCAAGCTTGCCAACTTTGTCTGAAATCTGATACGGACCAATAAAATAAGGAGTGAGCTTCTTAGACTTCAATGCACACCCAACACCAGTCATAGGTGTAACTCTCATAAACACATGGTCACCTGCTTGAAATTATAAATCTTTCCTTTGCTTGTCATGATAACTCTTCTGTCTACTTTAGGAAGCTTTCATCTTTTCTTGAATTAACTTCATATTCTCACTACTAAAAAAAAGACATTTGAGAAAAGGTTTTTACATCGGGTATCAAAATAGGTGATGTAAAAAATATAGTTAACAAACTTTTTACATCAGGTATTTATTTCCAATGATATAAAAAATAAGGGAAAAATTTTTTTTCGTCACCTATTACATCGGGCAATCTCATCCACCGATGTAAAAGATTTCCAGAAAAAAACACGGTGGCATTTTTGTAAATAAGAAACAAGGTGACAAAAAAGTTAAAAAAAATATAAGCAATATATTACATCGGTTTAAATAAAAACCGATGTAAAAAATGTGCTTGAATTAATATATAAAATATATTGATAAATCATAAAAACGTGGGTTAAAAAAAAAAAAAAGGTAAGCTATTACATCGGTTCGGACTCTCCACCGATGTAATAGCCCAACACGTATTTAAAAAAAAAAGCAACCTATTACATCGGTTGGAGTTTCCACCGATGTAATAGCCTAACAAGTATTTTAAAAAAAAAAGCAACCTATTAAATCGGTGGAAGTTTCCACCGATGTAATAGCCTGAGAAGTATTTTAAAAAAAAAAAGCAACCTATTAAATCGGTGGGAATCCATCACTAGAACCCTAAATAATGACTCGTTCTCATCTTTTCTCTCATGCATTCATAACACCGATTCGTCTTCTAAATCTCCGGTTCGGAAACAATGTGTTAACCTTTTGAGCCGTTTCCATGGTGACGCGATGTCTCCTTTTATCTCAAAGATGATTGCTACTGTTCTCCGTCGGTTGAGGGATCTCGACTCGGTTGTACGATCCGCTTGCATCGACGTTGTTGCTGAGATATCGTCGCGCATCACTCGTCCTTCGTTCACCGTTGCGTTCCTGAGGCCGTTTATGGACGCGTTAACGCTGGAGCAGGACGTGAATGTGCAGATCGGCGCTTCGCTGTGCCTTGCGGCGGCTATTGATGCAGCGCCGGTGCCGGACGTTGAGTCGCTCCGGAGGATTACGCTTCCGAGGCTAGGGAAGCTTCTGAAGACTGACTCGTGTAAGGCGAAGGCGCCGTTGTTGGTGCTAATCGGGAGTGTGGTTTCCGTTGGTGGTGCTTCGAGTCGTGGAGTAATGAGTTGGTTGGTTCCGTGCGTTGTTGAGTTTCTCGGCAGTGAGGATTGGAATGTGAGAAAAGCCTGTGCGGAAGCGTTGGGGAAAGTATCTTCAATGGAGAAAGATTTGGCATCGCATCATAAAGTTATGTGTATGGATTCGTTGCAGAATAAACGGTTTGATAAGGTAATTTACACTGTGTTTGATTATGGGGTAAAAAAATTGAAGGGAATTGATTCTGAAAATTTGTCGACCACATCAATACCACCAAAGATACCACTGATTACCTGTGGCATACAACAAGGTTTGTCTCAGGATAGAAAATGGTTAAGAACACAATAATATTGGAACTTGATTGTGTTGATTTTAATAATTTTAAAATGCTTTAGTTTGAGACTTTTTCTGGCTTTTGTTTTCTTTTGGTGGAAATATGGGAACTTTTTCTATTTCACTATGTTCATATATCTGTATGATTGTTATGAAGAACTTAGAATTAAAATTAGATTCATTCACAAACATCTCTCCATAAATATTTGATAATATTCCCTTCCTTCTTTCTTGAAAGGCTCATTTGTATAATGTAATATACATAAAGGGTACTATTTTCAAAGTAGATATATGCTGTCAATTAAAGCTCGTTTTTGTGTTGATGGCAGCATACTTATTGGCAAAAATGACGAGTTCCTAAAGAAAGGAAGCGAACCAGTTCTTGTAATAGAATCCAAGGGTCATGCTCTCCATGCTTTTGTGAATCAGAAATATCAAGGTTATCCTCTAACTAATAGTAATCGCTTTGCTTTTTATTTTTCATGATTTTAACTTCTCATCGCTTAGGCACTGCATATGGAAATGGTTCACACTCACCATTCACTTTCAAGAATCCCATCTCTCTCAAGGCAGGGAAGAATGAAATTGCGTTATTGAGTTTGACAGTTGGCTTGCAGGTTAGAATTGAAATGACTCCGTAACGTTGTTGTTTTCTCTCCTATCCTTTAAAGGATTTGAACTCTTATTTCCTTTTCTTTAATGTTTAGACAGCTGGACCATTTTACGAGTTCGTAGGGGCGGGAGTAACAACTGTAAAGATTAATGGACTTAACAACAAGACGATAGACTTGTCGTCTAATGCGTGGACTTACAAGGTACTTTTCCTCTTGCATTATCATCTTAAAATTGATTTAAATTTGGATCTCCTATTACCTTCTCAATCTTTTAGAGACAATTGACCGTAATATAAGATGTGAACAATGACTTTTGTCGACCTTCGTCCTTTGATCAAGTGTTTCTTCCTTTCTCAGATTAGAGTACAAGGAGAACATCAAAGGTTACACCTGGTAGATGGGTTGAATAATACGAAATGGACATCTACTTCAGAAGCACCAAAAGGCCAAGCACTGACATGGTACAAGGTAATTCCTTGTTTTTTCATCCTAAAAACGTGATCTATTCGGGAACAATGTGATTTTTTCTGCTGAAGCATGTTTTAAATTCCATGATCTTTTCAGGCTACTGTGGATGCCCCACCTGGGGATGAACCAGTTGGGTTTTAAATTTACCAGTTCTGTGTTTGATTATTGGAGGTCAAAGTTGTTCGAGAGACTATGAATCTGGCATTGGATATATGGAAGGAAGTAAAAGATGTGTCTGAAAATGCTCCTACTCCTCAAAAAGCAACACATTATTTGGTGCACGTAAGTAAATTTTATTGTTTTATTAAAGTCAATCTCTATTAATATGTTATATCTCTCATGTGTTGCTCATGTGTTGAGTTTCTTGATTTTTTTGCTGATGTTAATTGTTATTATTTATTATCAGGCAATATGATTTTGGTGTTGTCTACCGAAGATTTTATATTGGTAATTCAAGTTTGGAAACTTAGAAATAGTTTAATATTTTAGTATATGTATATTTTGTGAATATTATGTAATTGTAAGTTTTGAAAAAGACTTATAAATAGTTGAATATTGTTTTATATTTTGTGAAGAATTTGTAATTGTAAGTTTGTATGTTGTAATACAATACAAGTTTGCAATACAATTGTTCAATTTGTAAGTTTGTTGTGAAAAATATGAAAACATCGTCCTAAATGTGATATATGTGATGTTGGAAAGCTATGAAATCTATATAGCGACATAAATATAGTCTGTTTGATATTGGAAAAATATGAAAAAATGGGTACAAATTATATTTGTATAGGGAAACCCAGGAAATAAATAATCTATTCCAAAAAAATTTCATACATTTTACATCGGTTATTAGTAAAACTGATGTAAAAACTTTCAAAAAGGGACTTTTTACATCGGTTGGAAGTAATACCCGATGTAAAAAGTCGCGTTACTGGGAACTTTTTACATCGGGTATTACTTCCAACCGATGTAAAAAACTGGATCAATTTTTTAAAAACTGTGCATAATAACAGGTTATTACATCGGTTCTGATATTATAACCGATGTAAAAAAGGGACTTTTTACATCGGTCCCAGAACCGATGTAAAAAGTCCCTGATTTACTATATCACCTGACTTTACATCGGACCCAAAACCGATGTAAAAAGTCAATTTTACCCGATGTAAAAAGTCATTTATGCACTAGTGTCTCGACAGTTTCTCGAACAAGTTCAAGTCCAGGTACTATGCTTTCCCCAGATTCATGCAATCATAAAGGAGTTCTACACCTTCGACCACACAACGCTTCAAAAGGTGTCATTCTAATACTAGAATGGTAACTATTATTATAAGTGAACTCTATTAACAGAATATAAGTTTCCCATGAACCTCCCTGCTCAAGAACACACGCTCTCAATAAACCTTCCAACGACTGAATAATCCCCTCCGTCTGACCATCGGTTTGTGGGTGATACGCTGAACTCAACCTCAACTTGGAATCCAACTCCTCTTACAAAATCTTCCAAAAATTTGAAGTAAACCTCAGATCTCTATCCGAAATAATACACAAAGGAATACCATGCAGTTTCACAATTACACTAGCGTAAATCTATGCCAACTTTGATACTGGAAAAGTAATGTTACTAGGAATAAAATGAGCCGACTTTGTAATCCTATCAACAATTACCCAAATTGTATCATGCCCTCTTGAATTATTAGATAACCCCGTCACAAAGTCCATCGAAATGCCACCCCATTTCCATTATGGAACTTCTAACGGTTGCATCAACCCTGCAGGCTTCTGATGTTCAACTTTTAACTTCTGATAAGTTAAACATGCATACAGAAACCGAGCCATATCACTCTTCACTCTAGGCTACCCAAAAAAATTCATCAAATCTTGATATATTTTTGTAGCTCCCAGATGAATGCTCAACTTACTTCTTTGACTTTCCTCAAGAATCACTTTCTTCATCTCCGCATCATCAAGAATACAAATTCGATTACAGAATCTCAACACACCTTACACATCTAACTTAAAATCTTTGACTGATCGATCCCAACCATCGAGTCTACCAATTTCACATCTAACTTCTGAGCTTCTTTGATACTATCCATAAATTCATTATTAATTTTCAACATAACACTCTGCGGTGTCACTTCGCAAACTAAGCTCATATCTCTGAACTGTTCAATTAATTCCAACTCTTTAACCATCATTGCTGACATATGTAAAGTCTTTCGACTTAACGCATCAACCACCATATTCGCTTTTCTTGGATGATAATTCAAACAAAAATCATAATCCTTTAACAAATCAAACCATCTTCGTTGTCTTATGTTCAATTCTTTTTGATCAAATAGATATTTTAGACTCTTATGGTCACTAAATAATTCAAGTATAGAACCATGGAGGTAGTGTCTCCAAATCATTAACACAAAAACAACTGCAACAAGCTCTAAATCATGCGTAGGATAGTTCTTTTCATGAGTCCTCAACTTCCTTGACAAATAATGTTGTACCCCAAAATTTTCTCTCTCATTTTACTCAATACATGTCCATTGATATCTTCAATTTGCTCAAGGTTTCCCAAGAGTGGACCAGACAAACTCTCTCCTAAGGCAGTATACCTCAAATTAGGGTTTTTATTTTCATCAAGATAGGTGGACGATAAAGGTCTCACATTCTCTCCATGGTATTAATATGTTCTCAATACCCTACATGTCAAGTTTCATGCCTTGCACAAGAAGATTGCTCAGTCAACTACTCAGATGCTTGAGAATCGACTGTATTAGGTCAAAAGTTAACTGTAACCCACATACAGTCAAAATTCAAGATTTTTGGTCAAAATTAACATTTTGAAGTTACTTTCATCATTTGATCAAGGGTTGATCATTATTTCCCAAGGAATGCCCCAAATTCATCAAAACCCAAAAGTTGCTAAATTAGGGTTTCTTCGTAAAAGTCAACAAAACTTTGACCAAGCATAACTTCCACATGCTTTATCAGAAATTTTCCATCCAAAGCTAATTTTTAAGAGCATGTAATTCCCTACAATTCACATTCATCTCACAAGTTCAAAATATGCACTCATAAAAAGATATGAATTTTTACATTATGGGTCCTTTTGAAAAGTCAACAAAAACATATTTTGGGTCAAAGCTCCTTACATGAACATGGAAGACTCAATTGAGATGAGACCAAAAGGGTTGCTTAGGGGACATCCTAAGATTTCTAAAAAGTGCAAGAACACATCTCTAGGGTTAAAATTGGAAGAGATATGCCTTGTCAAAGTTGACATGTTTTGTAAATTTGCCAAAAGTCAAATGTGCTCAAAATTGCATATTTTGCTAAATGGGCCTAACTTTTTATGCTTGCACCTCACTTATAATGTGGTCCACGACTCAAATACTAATCCATACATTATATGCTTCATTTTTCAATTTATTTTGATTTTTTATTAATTAAAATTAAATTAAATCAAATAATTTATGAATAATAGCAAAGATATGATTTGATTTGGTTTTTGGACAGGTTCGTAATCAAAATACGTTGAATTATCAAGGCCAAAACGAATCAAGCATAATTCATACAAAAAATGGATGATTTGGCTCAAAATAACAAGTTTTCATATGGCTAAAGAATCAAAGCAAATCTCATTAAAAATTCAAGATCCAATCTGTTTTGCAACCCTAATTCATTCCTTGATATAAAATGAACAAGAACAAAGCAAAAAATAGGGGTTAGCAGTCGTGAAAACACCAAACAAAATTCTAAAAAAGTGACAAAAAGTGTTGGATCGTTTTTGAACTTAGAGATCATTTCAGGCCATTCCGACACTTCCAATCGTTTGTTGGACCTTCCCAAAAGCCAATTGGATCATTTGCAAGGCTTGAAACACCCAGAAACACGCATAATCACTCTCACGATTTGCTCATGTTTTACAAATTGATTAATGAATTTCTTGCATCATTAGCATGTTTAAGTTATATATTTGTGATCCTCATCGTGTTTGCAAGCTAACTGAATAACTTAATTGCCTTTTTGAAGCCTATATCTGCACTTGCCATTGTTAGGGTTTCCATAAGCGTTTTGGAGCTTTTGGCTACAGGAAAAATTAGACCACAAGCTGGATATTGGGATGACTGGGACATCATGACCGGTCGAACCATGGTCTTCAATTCCATTTATATTGTGTTTTGTGAATTTTTAAATTGCACTGGTCTTTAGCCATGAATTAAAACGCGCTTGGTATTGGGTATAAAATCCTAAAACGACGGAGAAAGGTAGAAGACGGTTATGTGTCACCAACCATTCGCCCGTTTGAATCTCGCGCGCTTTTTGTTCAGTTAACCACGTTTTTGTATATTATGTTTTATTCTTGGATTACTAACAAAACAAAGCAGATGGCTCAGTGGTAAAACGTGCTTGGTATTGGGTGGGAGGACTTGGGTTCGATCCCAGGTCCCAGCAAATTTTATTTTCTAACTTTGTGCTTGCAGATTCCATACACCGCCTTTGTCAAGCGTCTTGCATACAACCTTGTGTCCAACCGTTTGATCAAGCATACCATCAAATCTAACACTCCATCCATGAGGGACCATGATGCGCCTTCAAGTCAACGCTACAAGGAATCCAAGGCTGACTGGGCCTGGAGCGTTTTGGGCCTTAAAAATTTCAAATTGACACCCCCAGACTTGCTATTCAACACAGGCCTAGTTTGCATTTTTCTATTTTCATTTTAATTTCTTTAATTAATTTCTCTTATTTGTTTTAATTAATTAACCCAAAATTATTATTTTTCTACAAAAATCACAAAAATACAAAAAAAAAAATTTTAATAAAAAATATTTTATTTGTTAATTCATTTAGTTTAATTAATTTAAGGCAATTTAATCTCTTTTTATAATTAAAAATAACTAGACCTAGGATTTGAATTATACATAATTCAATTAATTTTCTTTAAAATACACCAAAACCATTTTTCATTAAAATATTTATTTTAATTAATTAGGTCAATTAGGTTAACTTAAATACTCTTTTTCATAATTAAAAAAGCAATTAGAAATTAGGTTTTCATTTAAATTGCAATTTCATTGTTTTCTCCAATAAAAAATATACAAAAATCTTTTTTCTTTCAATTAGGGTTTAGTTTATTTTTCAAC